ACAAAGTTTGCGTCTCACCTGCAGAAAAAAGGAATTGAGGGTGGGGGGCTTGTCCTCCTCCTCCTCCTCGGTCATTTCAGTGGGGCGCCCTAAGCGAGACCCCCGGCCTCCTTGCGGATGGGACGAGCCAACCCATCCTTCAGATGCTGCAGAAGGGCAGATCTTGGCCTCGGGGGAAGCCTCTCCCTCCCTGGAAACGTGGAGGGTGGGGGGGAGTGTAGAAGCATGGAAAAAAAAAACCTCCTTGCTTCCCAGCCGGGGGCGGGGGGGGGGGGGGGGGGGGGGGGGGGGGGTGACAGGAGGAGGCGTCCAGAATGGCGCTAGGCTTGGAAGAGGGGAGTTTCTGGCTAAAGAGCCAAGCCCCTCCTCCCTCCCGCCTTCGCCCCTCCTCCTTTTCCCGGCTCTGAACTTGGGGAGGAGGAGGAGGGGGGAGATCCGGATGCCCCTCTGCCGCCTGGCCCGCCCCCCCTCCCTTTTCCCTTTGCCTGCCCCCCCACCCATCCCCCGTGCGCTCCCGGGCGGCTGCCGGGCGAGCTGCAAAGGGGGGAAGGCGCGGCGCCACTACGACCACCACCACCAGCAGCACTACCACCAGCAGCAGCAGCGGAGGCGCCCCGGCTCTCACGCTCCCTTTCCAGTCAAGAGTCACGCCGCGCTGCTCTTCTTCTTCTTCTTCTTCTTTTTTTTCCCCCCCTCCCTTTGCAGCCCTGCCTGTTCCCGCGAACTGCCAGCGCCGAAGAAACCATCCTCAGCCTCCAGCCTTGCGGGAGAAGCGGACGACGCCTCCGGTTTGGAGCCAGGGAGAAGCGCGCCCGGAGAAGTGGGGGAAAGAGAAAAGCCCAGAAGCCGATGCCTTGAGGGCTCCGGAGAAGCCGGGGGAGGCCAAGGGAGGAGCGGGGGGGGGCTTTCCTTTCCCGCTTGCTCGGGGGGGGAGCTTCTCCTCCGCCTCCTCCTGGCCGCGGGGCGACCTGTCAAACTCGGCCAGCCAGCCAGCCTTGCCTCCGCCGCTTTGCAGCAGCCTCCGCAGCCTCCTCGCCGCCGCCGCCGCCGCCGCGAACGGGGCAGTCCTTTGCTCCCTGCTTGCCTCCGCCTCCGTCTCCTCCTCTTCCACCCCAGCGTGCATGCCCAGCGGCGGCGGCGGCGGCGGCGGCAGGAGCAGCAGCAGCAGCAGCAACAACAACAACAACAACACACACACACAAAGCAACAGCCGCAGGAGCAGCAGCAGCGGAGGCAGCCCCGCAGCCCAGCCTGGAGAGTTGGCTCTCCAGCGGGTTGGGAAAGGGGGCGCCCTGAAGCCCTTCGCCTTGCCAGCCCTGCCAGCCCGGAGACGCCGCCAGCTCCCCCGTCTCCTCCAGGCGCTGCCGGCGGACGCGGCCAGGCAAGATGCCCAGGAGGAAACAGCAAGCGCCCAGGCGCTCAGCAGGTACGACAAGCCGACTCTTCGGGCGCTTCGGCTGGGGAGGGAAAGAGGGAAGGAGGAAAGGAAGGAGGGAAAGAGGGAAGGAGGGAAAGAGGGAAGGAAGGAGGGAAAGAGGGAAAGAGGGAAGGAAGGAAGGAAGGAAGGAAGGAGGGAGAGAGTGACCTTCTTTTTCCCCCACCCCCCACCCCCAAAACCCCCAAAATCCCGGCTCCTTTTGGGAAGAGAAGGGAATCTGGAGCCCCGAGAGGCAGGTTTTCCTCCCGGCCCGGCTCGCTTTCTCTCTCTGCCCCCTCTCCTCTCCCCTCCTCTTTCTTTTCCTCTTCTTTACTCTGCCCGACCTTTCCAGGTGGCTTTTAGAGGAAAGAGACGCCGGGGGTGGGTGGGTAAGAAAGAGGAGTGGGGTTCCTAGGAAAGACACCCCCACAACATCCCTTCTTCTCCCCCCCCACCCCCGGCCGGCTCCTGTTTGGAGTTCTTTGCGGGACTTTGGCTTTGAAAGGGAAGCTTTTTTGGGGTGTGTGTGTGGGGGTCCAGATCTTCCCTAGCGCCGACACACTTGTACCCTGGTGCTTTATAATTTCCAACCCCCCTTTTACCCCGTCCAGGTGGGCTTCTCTCCCACTTTGAAGGGTCCTTCCCGCCCCCGCCCCACCTTGCAAAGAAAGGATGGTGTGGAGCTATTTTGCTCGGTCTTCTCCTGCCAGTGGAGGTTTTAGGGAGTGATGATGGTGTGCATTCCTCCGTTTTTAACTTTCTTTCTGGTTCTTTCTTAAAGGGGTTGGGTGGGCTGAAGGACAAGCGGCTCAGGGTTCTTTCTTTTCCTTTTCCGAGATTGTTACAGGGGTTACAGGAAATGAGGGCAAAAAAAAGATCCTGTGCTTTGTCAGATGATGGCAATCATTGGTTTTGTTTTGTTTTGTTTTGTTTTTTTTGCATTTCCTTTCATACTTCCAGAGTTTTATTTTTCTTAATCTTCTTCCTTTGTTCCCCCTCCCATCACACAACTTAGCACTTTTTGGAGTATGGCTATACAGTATTTGCAAAACCTGAGATTAAAAGATTTCAGGTATGAACCTAGACATCCTTTCCTTTGCAGCTTGACCTGTATTTTCCTTCCTTCCTTCCTTTCTTCCTTCCTTCCTTCTTTCCTTCCTTCCTTCCTTCCCTCTCTCCCTCCCTCCCCTCTTTTACATTTTATTGGCAGTCTCCTTCCTTCCTTCCTTCCTCTTTTATATTTTATTGGCACCCTTCCTTCCTTCCTTCCTTCCTTTCTCTTTTATACTTTATTGGCAGTCTTCCTTCCTTTCTTTTCTTCCTTCCTTCCCCTCTTTTACATTTTATTGACAGTCTCCTTCCTTCCTTCCTTCCTTCCTTCCTTCCTTCCTTCCTTCCTTCCTTCCTTCCTCCTCTTTTATATTTTATTGGCCTTCCTTCCTTCCTTCCTTCCTTCCTTCCTTCCTTCCTTCCTTCCTTCCTCTTTTATACTTTATTGGCAGTCTTCCTTCCTTCCTTTCCTTCCTTCCTTCCCCTCTTTTACATTTTATTGGCAGTCATCTTTTAACTCAGGTGGGCCTCTATGACACCAATCCATTGGCCCGTTTGCCCTCGTGGATTTGATGGGCTGATTGAGGGCAGATCATCTGTTTGCTTTTCATTCATTCCCCATAAACCTGGAGAAATCACTTGCCATGGTAACAGTGACTCCATATGACGTCAGGCGTGTGGCCTTTGAAGCAGGGTCAGTGTAACTTTTGTCAGGGTGGTGGCTCACCTCTACCACATGCGGTGTGTCTGTGGGCCTTGGGTTTTACAAGGAGTTGTGCTACCAAGAGGATGGTCTGGGCAGGGGTGGGGTGGGGTGGGCACTTGCCGAAGGAAGGCGTATTTTACAGTATCTTCTAGGAAATATATTGATCTGCAAGATTACAACTTAGGGAGGTTTTTGTAGGCGGCACTTTTTAAGAAATTATTTGTATATCTCATAGAGCCAAGACTTCACTATCGTAACTTATTTTTCCCCAAAGCAAGTTTTTGCTTATTGCCTCCTTTACTCCTTCCCCCCCCACCCCAAAAGAAAGAGACTTTTCCTCCCACCCCTTCTGTTGAGCATCATTTGAACATCTGGAAAGTTTACCGTTTTCCCGTATAGTGTGTGAAAAGATATGCACACCCATACAAATTTCATCGTGAAACTGCTTTCCGGGTGACTGTGAGTTTTGCTTTCGAACGGATCCGCAATTCCATTTTATGAAATGGATTTTTTTATTTTTATTTTTTTAAAAAAATATTTTGCTAAAATGAAAAGGCCGTCTTGCAAACAACTGTGGCTCATTTCAAGGTGAACTTAGGTTTTATTCTTCAGGTTGAACCAAGTGTGAAAAGTCACACTAAACAGGAGCGAAAAGTTTCTAGTCCTTAAGCTTTGAGGTTGGAGTGGGTGGGGATGATGTGATCATTGTGTTGTACTTTTGAGGTATGGATGGATGTGTGATTTGCTTGTGAAAGTTTAGTTTCTCTTTTCTTTTCAATCCAGAACTGGGTACGAATCAATTCTTCTGTGTGTGTCTTTTTTTTTTTTTTTTAGGGGCTGGATAGACTAAATAAAATGCAAAGGGGAGCAAAGCCTGTTTTGCCAACATACTAAATTACTGTAAAACAATTATCAAATCTAGCCTGGAGCCTTTCTTTCTTTTTTGTTGTTCAGATGTCCTAAAATAGTGCATCTCTCTCTCTCTCTCTTTATATTTCTAATAAGCAAAACATCTCAAGTTACTGAAGAAAATTCATTTGGTAAAAAAAAAGGAAGATTATAGGTAGCTTTAATAGGAAATAGAAGAACAGGCCTGCTCTACCAAAACGTCCCGTCAAAATGACTTTGTTTCATATTTGATTTAATTGTCTCTCTCCTGACAGGCACATTTATCAATAGCTTAATGGTCAATCCGATGTTGGCAGAGTGAATGCTTTCATTCTTTCTCCCACATTCGGTTTGCCTTGATCAAAATAATGCCTTCGGTTGATGGTCCTACGGGCTGCTGGAGAGAAGACATAGGAAACTCTGCTTATTTAGGGTAGGGGAAGTACAGCTGCCACTGGGAAGCCCAAATGAGCGTGAAGTTAATGGGGTTCTCTAATGCTAACATACCACAAACTATGTCTGTACACAGAGACACACACAAAACACAGAGATACCCACCCACACCTAGGTTTGATTTCACAGCTGCAAGTTATAAGATTCATGGCTGCCCTTTGGGTGCATTTGGAGGGATGACAAATCCACTGCTTCCTAGTGATAGAGCAAATAATTGTGTGTGTGTGTTTGTGTTTGTGTGTGTTTGTGTTTGTGTATGTCTACATGCGTTGGAGAGGAAGCACACACAAAATTTACCGCTTTGTAGTGATAAGAGCAAATAATGTGTGCATGTGTGTGGGTTTACATGCGTTGGAGAGAAAGCACACACACATATACAAATTTGCGTTGATTCATCTTGCAGGAAATTCAGGCATTGCAGGCAAGCTTGAAAAATATTCTTGGAAATATCTACCCATCTACCTACCCACCTACCCCGTTCCTTGTCTCTCTCTTTCACTCTCTCTCTCTCTTTCTCCTCTTCCTCCAAACGGAAAGGTCCGTTCAGCCATAAAGAAAAAATAAAAATAAAAGAAGCAAAGTTGTTTTGCTAGCTTCATTAGTGTTCACCTAATTAGCTGTAAATCTGATGGATTCCTGACAGCTTTAATGATTGGAGATGACAAGCTCCACGCAGTGTCATCCAGCGGAATTAGGTTTGGAACTAGTTTGATGTAATCAAGTTGATATTACACAGTC